AGATGAGTATTATTCTTTTTAGCAACCATAGAATTCGATTCTTTTCCATTTATTTTTTCATATATTTTAAGATAAAGTTCCACAAAAGTTTTCACTCCTAAATTATTCATTTTTTTTAAATAACAAAGCTAAATTACATGAGAGAGATATGCAAAAAATAATGCTGTTCCAAGTGCTAAAATTTCGTATTTCGTATTTCATCCACTTACCTTTTCGCACATTTACATTTATTCGGTCGTCTAACATATTAAAAATTAGTACTGCTTGTGTTACATCAATTCTGATATAATTTAATTATTATTATGATGATCTCGCCGGTCATACGAAGCGTAATTCTTTTGCGACTTTCGCTGAATATATAAGCTCTACTCTATACTTAAGATAATATTAAGGGACGCTCTTGTCATCGCGCTTATACTTATTCACTACACTTTTTCCGAATTATACTACATGCTATTCCATGAAAGAAAGATAAAATTTTATGTGATGAAATAAAAGCTTTAAAAGAAAGACGCGCGCGTATGACCAGCGTGACTCTCTCACTTTTCACTCTTCTCCCTTAGTAATTCTCTCATTTTAATATCACACGCGCAGCTCTTCTCACTGTCGGACAAAAGCGGGATTATCATTGATATCGTTAATCATTATGATTTGACTTGATTTATGTATTAAGAATGCTCACTTTTCTTTCAACAAATTAACATAAAGAAATAGAATCCCAGTAAATCCGATAATAAATTTTCCAAGATACCACGCGAGATTGGTGGTGCAATGTGGCATCGCGAGTATCTCGATACGGGATTTTCGATTTTTTTTTTCCGATTGAACCAATTGATCAATTCATCAATTTGTCAACTTTGATACAATTCGATATTTAACGAAAGTTGTTGCCCTATTTTCTCTTTTGTGATTTAAAATTCACGTTGTACAAAGCAAAATTATTTTTATTTAATAATTATTAAATTTAATTTTATTTATATAAACAACAAAACAAATGATAAATGGCATCTTTTAACACATGTTAAAAGTTTCTTTGAAAATTGTTATTGCGGTAACTAGTTTGTTTGTCATAAAACTAATATTTAATTTGTTTCAATTCAATTATCTCGAGCTGGCAAATATGCAGTATAACGTTCCCCCCTTCCAATTTTCTTGTAATTTTGTAAATTTGTATATTTTTTTGCGAAGAATATATTCTGAGAAGGAAAATCGTCGCTGAAGTCCTGTTTTTTTCAAATTAAATTTTAATGTTTTTTGATATCGGTAAATCAGAAAATGATAATTTAATAATATAATGTGCGCATGCTCATTAAATAATCCATCATCATATGATATATAACTTCATTAGATATTAGAAAAAAGTGATTGGCTACCGTATTGCCGCGTGCTGTGTGCAACCAGCCAGTGCGACGGATATGACGTTCGAAAAAGCTGTATGCTCATTGGATATCGCGCATCACGTGTGCGTCATCATGCTGGTCTGACTTCAGCATAAGACCGAAGTATAAACCAGCCCTAAATCCCGGTCTGTAATAGATGATTTAAGACTTAAGCCATAAGAAATGGACGAATCATAATCAAAGAATAAGAGAATAATCGACTATGATTGGTCAATTTCTTATGCTTATGCCTAAAGCTTAAATCACCTATTGTAGACCGGGACTAAGACCGAAGCATAAACCAGCTCTAAGCTTAGCGATTTTGATTTTTACGATTGCTGTCACTGATTTTCTTACCGCAGTTGGAGGGCGGAATCCGCGATTCGATCCGTTCGCGCGGATCTCCGGAGTGGTGAATTTCGCTGGATTTTGCTTATCCTCTCGGGATATCGGGTTACTTGACAGTGAGATACTGTTCGTTCCTGACGGAATATTATGTGGTACAGGCGTCTCTTCGAGGCGACGTTCGGCACGGCGTTATCGCAATCGGCGGTTCTCTAATCTTCAGTATTGACAAGCACCGAACACACGTTGAGAAAGTCCGAAAGTTGCCGAGGTTCTTTCCTGTTTCTTCTGAAGGAATATCGTTTAAAAAGGATCTCGAGCGATTCTTCGTTCATCTTGCGAATAATGTTGTCGCCCGTGATAGTGGATTTTGACGTGTCGAAACGGCGGATTTTGCTGCTCCTGTTTGTGCTGAGTCAAGTTGGTCACGGCCATGAGGAAGATGTGCACACTCTTCAGTATACTCACGACAACTTCTCCGAAGAAATTGGCAAAAGAAATCACTTTGTCATGTTCTATGCACCATGGTAAATAAACGCATATTGTTTTTCACACAGTGAACTATCTTTGCAAGGACTAAAGAATAAAGAATTGAATATAGAGAATCAGAAATAAAAAATTAAATTTTGACGTATAGGAAATTCCTATGCTTCAATACACAATCAAAGTATTCTATTATTGGTTGAAAGAAATCTATCTATTTTTCTAATTCTTTATATTCTAATTCTTTAATTTCTTATTTTTTATTCTTATCTTTTATTGTGTCTAGATTTTATAGAGCATCAACAAAGTGTTTTAACATTAAAAATATGTAAGAAAGATATTTATAGTCACAGTTGAATGCATATCAGTCATAATTAGTGCATAATAATTATTTAGAGATATTTAAAGACAAATGTTTACTTCTGTTTATATAGATTAAATCTTAGTTAAATTTACTTTTTATCTTTCTTTAGTTCCAAGAATTAAAAAAAGATAAAAAGTAAATTAAACTGCAAAATTAATCTATAAAAAAATGCAATCCCTTGTTAGATAAGATCTTTATCTAACAAATCAGCTCAGCTATTTTTATAATGGTGAACATTTCAATATGTTATGAAGTTCATTACTTTTATATAACGTTAATTAAAAACAAAATGTTATCCAAGGTGCGGTCATTGCCAAAGACTTAGTCCTACATGGGAGCAATTGGCAGAGATATCAAATGAAGAGGACAGCAATATAAGAATTGTTAAGGTGGATTGCACAACCGAGAGTGGTTTGTGTAGTGAACAAGATGTTACTGGCTATCCTACGTAATGTATTTTATTTTGCTTTTTATTAACTTTTGCTCGAAAGAGATTCTTTTTAAATTGATTTTTGCATATACTATGATTATATTTGTCAATATTATATATCATATTATAAATATCTATAAATTATCTCATAATTATATCATTGCATACAATGGAACTTTTGGAACTTTTAAATGCAGGTTGAAATTTTATAAGGCTGGAGAAACCAAAGGTGTCAAGTTCAGAGGTACTCGAGATTTACCTACATTGACTTCTTTTATTAATGATCAGCTGGGCAGTTCTATGGTGTGTATGATTTATCTTGAGTTTCAGTATTGCCTTATATCAAGTTGTATCACAATCGACATGTTCTAGGCTCAAGACACTGCACCGTCTCCTCCAGAAGCGGTGAATGGATTATTGGAATTAACAGAAGACACATTTGAGAAACATGTATCTTCAGGACATCATTTTGTCAAATTTTACGCGCCCTGGTGTGGTCATTGCCAGAAATTAGCTCCAACATGGGATGAATTAGCCAACAGTCTTCGCAACGATGACACAGTCAGTATTTCCAAGATCGACTGTACCCAACATCGTAGTATCTGTGGCCAGTTTGATATTAAGGGATATCCCACGTTGTTGTGGATTGATGATGGAAAGAAGGTATTGATTTTGATATTTGCTTTTATTTTTCTTCATATAGAAAGAATTAATTTATATAAAAGAAGAATATTGCAGCATTTAATTAAATGAAATATTAAATTTCTAGATAGATAAATATACCGGGCAACGTACTCATGAAGAATTAAAGGCTTATGTATCGCTGATGCTGGGTAAGAATGCCGATGAATCAAGTCAGAAGAGCGAGAGCACTGATGGAGTTCCGCAAACTATATTGAGTCTAACGGCTGACAGTTTCAAGCAAGGTATCGAGAAAGGTCTTTCGTTCGTCAAATTTTTTGCGCCATGGTGTGGACATTGCAAACGCCTAGCACCTACGTGGGAGGAGCTAGGAAAGAAATTCTTCGGCAATGAAAATGTGAATATTATTAAGGTCGATTGTACACTCGACGTGAGCAAACAACTGTGCAATGAACAGGAGGTGGATGGTTTTCCAACGTTATACTTGTATCGTAACGGACGCAAAGTCTCCGAGTATAACGGTTCACGTAATCTCGAGGATATGTACGATTTTGTGATGAATCATTTGAAAACACATGACGAATTATAATTCTGTTGCGATTGAAGCATTAAAATAGGTCTCATAATATATTTCCAATAGTACTTTAAATAATTAACTTAATTATATGTGTATCTATGCGAATGACGTATCAAGTTTTTATCAAGTGAAAATAGAAATGAGAGTTTTTCATTTTTATACCCTATACATCGAGAAAAAGAAAAATAATATGCTATATATATATATAATATACCAGAATGTAATCCCGTGTCAAAGGAAAATGTACTTCCAAAATATATCTATTTATTGTCTTATTCCATTTATTTTGCATGCGTGCGTATACAATTCTTCCCTTTCATACCTTCATGTGCAAAGTGTGTTAAAAATTACTATAAAACTTATTGAAATCTAGATAAACTGATTTCATTCTTTATAAACATTGATTAATTTGTCTAGAAATGAAATTGATTGCCTTCACTGTAATTTCTTATATATTTTGTAAACATAATGACATAACTATATAACTGACACTGTTTTATTTTTCGGTAACTAACTATAATAATGGAGATGTACATACACATGTACATACACATTTTTCGTATTGCGAATAAGTGATAATCCTGTTTTTCATTGTATGCATGTTTGTTTTCCGTATCATTTATCATATAATAAGTGACATTGTCATCGATTTCGCATAAAAGCGTGTTATAATCGGCGACAAATGCTCTCTCATTAACGCATCAATCTGATAAACAGATCCGATACTTCCGTTCGAGTTTTAATTGTTCAGATCAAGCTGGACCTGTACAACTATTTTGCAACAATTATATTCATTCTTTAAAATTTTCTTTGCGTAAACCCTAACAAGGTTTACAATATGATACACTGAAGTTCTCGTTGTCGATGATGCGATATTGATAATTTTTATAAGTGGTAAAATCTATGTCGCGCATTTGTAAAACGTGATCTATTACCTTCTTGACCACCGGAGGGAAACCTGACACATTCGCAGCAGCCGCGATCTCATCGTAATAGGCCCATTGTCTATCTTTGAGCTTGTTGATGTGCCTCAACTGAAGAAAAAAAGTTATTATAATTTAATGAGATTTTTCGCGATATATAAATTTATATAATACATGCATATATCGTGCATATATTTCTTATAAGAGATTTCTTAGTAGATTTTACCGTAGTAGATTTCTTGTAAAATTTTTTATAAGACATTATCGTTATTAAAAGATAATTTTTCTACTGCAAATTCAAAAAAATTATCGTGACTCATACTGGAATGCCTTGATTCAGCAAGGACTTCTTCTCGATTTCATATTCCTCGCGCATTTGTTGCGGTGACGGTAGCTTGATGCGATTCTCGAGAATACCGAGGATGTATTTCGACTGGATGTGGAACATTGGGAATGGTATTACATGCGCAGGCAGGCCCATGAAAAACAGATTCGTATAATCCATGTGTACTAGATGTTTGTAAATGGGCTCTACGTGATCGTCGTCTGTACGTATCTCAACTTTAGGCGACATAAAGGGATACGTGAACTCGTAACCTGTGGGGAAACTGCTTGCTGTGAACCGTGAAAGTCAAGAGTTTCATTAAGATACTGACGTTTCTGAATTTATTACCGGTACAGTATACGAAATCGTCCACTTCTGCCGTGGTGCCGTCGCGGAACGTGAAGATGTTTCCTCGAATGGATTCGACGCCGGGTCTCTGCTCGATGTTGCTTGGCATTTTCAAGTCGAAATCCAGTTGATTATGACTCAGATATAGCTGAAATTATCAGAACAAATAATAGGATAATTAAAAATTAATCGAAATCTTATTTCTACAAGACGATTCTTCATAAAAATTCTTATGTTATGACTGTGCGATCTATCTGGTCGCAGGAACGTCGAAGAAAATTCGGGAATGCTGGGTGTCGATTTAGCATTATGAGAAGAAAAATGAAGATGCCTACATTTTATTTCATATTTGTCAAAGGTGATAATTAATAGCACAGGGATTTGTGCGCCAGCATACTTTATCGGCGTATTGGGAGATTTCCATGGCGATATCCGTGCCGGACCAGGACGCGCCAAGCACGCAAACTCTCTTGCCGGTGTAGACCTCCGGTATTCTGTACTGATGGCTGTGAATGCATCTACCATGGAAGCTTTCGATACCTGGGATATGGGGAACACGACCGACAGTGTAATGACCATTGCACAGCACCACGGCGTCGAAGGTCTTCGTGGTCTCCACCTTGGTCTCCAGATACTCGTACGTCAGCGTCCATAACGTTCGACCGTTCCTCGTTGCTTCCGGCTCTATGTGTTTCACCAGAGTGTTCAACTGAAGCGGTCCGGAAGAAAAGGACGATGAAAGGGAAGAAACGAATAAAAAAATTAATAAAAAGTTGTGTGTCATTCATTGAATTATTTGATGTGACTTTTGATGACTACTATATCTAACAATTTGATATTATTGTTGTCATTTTGAAAAAAATAAAGGGTTTAAAAAATAATATACTTTGCCATGACACCGCCATAAAATTAGCGAAGAAATCTTTTTATATTTTTTCTTTATTTTTATCTTCGTGATCCGTAGAATTTAAGCACTCACTTTAATATAAGGATAGAGATTGAAGTGCTTCGCATAGCTCAGAAGGTATTCTCTTATTGCAGTATGATGGATAAAAGACGGACCGTCCGAATCTTGAAAAGGAAAGTCAGGTAGCGCCATTATTTCCTTCGGTATGTTCGTTCTGTAAGAAAAAAATGAGAACAATCGCCCACTCAGACGAGACTTTCCATATTGAGGTGATCAGATGCGCGTATCTTTTATTAATTTTTATGCGACGAAGTTCAAAGGATACATGACTCGTAACCCGATTAATGATAAACGAAGTTGCCAGTTGTTAGCAACTTAATCGAAACAAGTTTTGACCTACATTGGACTTTACTCGATAGAAATAGACATAACTAGAAAAATATTTTCTTGCAATTAAACATGTTTTATACAGAAAAAAATTCATATACATGTCTGATTCTATTTTGTTATTTTAGTCACGTTATTATTTTAGTCACGGTATTTAATGTATACAATTTTTAGAAATTAAAATGAAATCGCTGAGAATTCTTGCGACGAAGATTTATTTGATAGATTTATTGCTCCAACTTCGAAATTTATTTTAATTAAGTGATATAGTTAGAACAGATAAGATGTTAATTATTTTTCTTAATGCAGCACTATATGAAAAAGATTATGTATTATGTATTAACAAGCAATTAGCAATCTAATTAAAGATAATTAAAGATAATTAATCTTAATTCAATAATAAAATAAATTTGATAATAGATATTACTAATACTATTATTAAATATTATATATACTAATATTATATACTGTTATATTTAATATATATATATACTGTAATATTTAATAAAATTTTAATGATTTAATGCTATTGATACATTAACTTCTTTTTATAAAATTAAATCAATGTATGTATTTGTATTTTAATCGACTTTGCGAGTAAAAGTATCTTTACAATATCTTCGCGAGAATCCTTGGATTTTTCATATTGATATTTAATAGCTTCCGGTCTGCATTGCAGATTTATCAAGTTATCATTGACGTATTCGCTTCTCCTTGCCGGAACTAATCATCGAAGAAATGGATTCTTCGTTAATCGAAAAGTATATCTTATGTCAAGCAAAGTTTATCATATTTATGCATTACACCGGATATTTCACGTATACATGGGAACGTTGTATTTATTGCCTACATATGATCTTAGATGAAGAAAGGTATTTCACTGTTATGTAGCTGAAGATTGAAAAAAGAACCTAGAAATAGATCACATTTTCATTTGATAATATAATTTTATTTACCGAAATAAAATTGATGAAGTTGTAACATCTAAAGTTCAAAATACAATGTTTAGTTGAAGTTACAAATTACAAGTTAAATAAAAAATTGCTAATTTGTATCAAAATATTTATCAAAATTTAAAAAAATTGATGATTCAGACATTAAAAATCTCAGCCAATAATAAAAAATATGTTAAACTACATAGTTATTATCCAACAACTAATATTTAATCCAACAACAATTATTTTTTGCATGAAATCTGTTTTATTGTGAAAGTTTGTTTTCTATCTTATTTTGATTTTCAAACCAATCCATAATTATATTGAACTATATTGATGAAATAAAATAATAACAAGAATCCGAGTTTATTTAAATCTTTTTTCTTATTTTTTTCCATATTACCTGCATACAAAGTTTTTTTACAGGACACCCTATATTACAGAACACTCTATAATATAATTAATTTACAGATTTCGAGACTGTAAACAAAAGTATAACTTGTATGCAACGTAAGTGCAGTGATAGAGATCAACAAGCCAAAGTTACAAAGCATTCTGACGCAACTTATGTCAATCTATTTATTTTCCCATACAAATATCTAATCGATACGTTTCAACTATTTATCTGTTCTGATATACCTGACTTTTTGTTTATCCCTGGTTCAAATTGCTCAATATTGAAAAGAGACACAAGTTCAATCTACTAGTTTATCTTTTTTTCAAGAATTCATGTACAAATATATTACGCAAAAATAGATTTAAAATATCAATTTATATAAAAAAAGGGCGTGTTTTTAAAACGTCCATTTTAATTTATTCAAATTATATCCTTAACCAGCGCAACAATTTAATTATAATCTGTGCTAATCACATTGCTACATCATAAAAACGTAATCTTATCAACCCTTCTTATCATTACTAAAGGAATTTTGTGAAAAGTATTTTCTTTAAATATCTCAGCTGATATCCAGTGATCTTACCTAAGATTTTTGTACATGCTGCTATGTATCAAAAGTCCATGTTTGTCGAGATCCGTTTCATCAGTGTAGACCCACGTACCACCAATCTGATCCGTTTGTTCAAACAAAGTGAGACTGTAAGAATCCAACTTGTCCACCACATGACGGGCTACCACCAAACCAGCCACTCCACTACCCACAATGGCAATTCTCGTTTTAGTACTCGGCATGATTTCTCAATAAAAAGTCCTAAGAAAATTACACGTCAGCCATACTAAAAGCTTCCGAAGAGAAAATTGAAGGGAGGGTTCAACGTTCAAAAAAGATAAAAAGATGATAAAAATGAAATTAAAAAATATACTTAAAAATTAAGGATTTAAAATTAATATAATGTATGTTTCTTTTCTCTTCTTTTCAAGAATATAAACTAACACGATAAAAATGATCGTTAACTTATAAGCAACAGGTTTATCTTGACATTTATTATTGGGAAGCACTTCGGTATTCCATTTCTATAAACTACCTTCAAGCTTCTTATTTTCTCTCGTTTGTTATAAATATAACGTAAACGTACAAAGATAATATTCGATTAGCGATATCACAATAAACAAGACCAACAATGACAAATAATATTCAACGTAATAAAGAAGACTCGATTTCCCGATCGATCTGGTTCGGCCAAAGGCTGAATTAAGACTGTTCGTTAAGACGAAAGCAAGTCCAAGTAATACACTACTCTCGTCTACTAACCGACCTTCTCACACTAACTAACGTTGATACATGTAAAATATTTTCTCTGCCTGGATTTACGGTCCCTATCCCCTACTTCTTCTGATGAAATCGCGTCGGGCTTATGGTCAGCACCAGGATGCCCTGCGGGGTATCCGCGAGAGAGGGTCCGCGATTAAACAGCTTATTAACAAAAGCGAGTAATTTCGAATGGGAAGTTTCGGGGTCATCGCAGTTCACGAAATGCAGCAAATAAATGTAAACATCATATTTATAAACATAATATTTCAAAGCTTACGGCGAATCACATCTGAGAGACGCATAAATCCTCGATCATTATAAAAAAAAAGTTTTAATCTAAGGTTAAACAAATCTGCGAGATTATATCGGTTTAGCATGATGTGATTGCAAGTTGATGATAGAATTTTTAAGAACTTGTTGCCACATGCAGACAAATGCGTATCTAAATAAATTGTGGATTTTTGCAGAGAATCGCATTCGCATTTGAAAAACGCGAATCTGACAAAAAATTCTTTCTCAAATTTTATGGGATGGTTAATTTAAAAGCTGGAAATTATGTTAAGTCTTTATAGCTTCAATTTTTTTTACGTTTAAAAAAATTTGCATAACGTAATCAGCAAATATAAATTTTGAAATATAAGCTGACAATTTATTTTTAATTTCTAAATATTTTATTATAAAAATCAGATTTCCGATATATAAGATTGCTCCTGATTTCTTTTTGTTATAAAACGAGACTTAAAAAAGTTAATACAATGATAAAATAATATGCTAAATTATGATGAAAATAAAATAAGATTTACAAACATAAATATATGACTCAAAGTTAAATGGCATTGTAAATTAATTATAAATTTATTAAGTGCTTCTTCACTCCAATGATTTATCGATGATTTCACTATCTAGACATATAATATAAATAACGTTGATAACGAATATAGTTCAGTTTACTTTAGGAAACATCATTAATAAACAAAAAAATAATACTTCAAATGTTAAATGTACGATTTTCGAGAAAGGATCTTCTCCAGTTAAGATAACAGTGAAAAAAGATAAATAATTAATGCATTTATTCGAGTAAAAACTACCGTTAAAGCATAGTGAAAGCGGGCCCGTAAAAATGGCGGGCGGTGAATGTGCTGAAAATCGACCGAAATGTTATGAATATCGACAGCAAGATTTCATAACAAAACGCTGAACGACTCATCGAGATCGCTTACGTTCCATGATTTTATTCATATTCCGTCGATCTCATGATCGCAAAAAAAGAAAAAAAAACGGAAAAAATAGCGTGTATCCAGACAGGTTAGCTTTCAAACGCTCGGCGAGTGGGAAAATTACATATTACGCTTCGTCATGCCGATTACGACGGCAAATTCATATGTATGAAAAGTCCATATCAATTTGGGTCATTTTTCCCCGACATCTACATAAGAGTATCATAATTTAGTTCGTAAAAAAACCGCTTGTAGAAACCACTGGTTGATTGCGGTGCGAAGGATCGAACAGAGAACGCGAGATGGAGAACGATCGCGATTTTGAAGCAAATTCTAGCTAAACGATTTATTACTCGAGTAATTGGACGTCTCGTTCGCTATTTTTTCTCCTGCACGTGCTTATTTTTCCGGTTCCTCGTGGTTTTTCAAGTAGTAGAGAAAGTGGAACGTGACGTTGCATCATACGAACGGATGCTGTATATATACCCGTACGTACAAATCGCGCTCAACGTCTTGGCAAATATTCCATGAATGATGTAAATTTCGTAACGATTCGAGGATTAAAGATCGCACGATCGCACCGTCTCATTTTGAGATTTATTCGTGTATATTTCCTATAGATAATGATACAACGCTAATTAAAATTACGCGGGATAAGAATTGTCCAATGGGCGATCTATTTGCACTTTCGGGGAATAATTTTAATATTACGCTTGTTATTATCGCTTTCCGAGATAACCGTATCCCTTTAAAGTGCACATCGTAAATTTGAGAGAGTCACTTATCGCAAAATTATATCATTTATTTCAGTTACTTTATATCATTTATTACCGTTACTTCAGTCGCGCTTATTTCAATTGTAATGACACGAGATATTACCAATAATAAATTTTTCAAGGTCGTAGCCAGTCAGTGTAACGAAATGTATTTGAAAAAAGAGACACATCGACAGATGCAAAATGTGACTGTTGTAATGTTGTAAATTACATAAGCGATTTTCAAAGTATAATAAGTAATATAAGTATAAGTTTCCCAAATATTACTAGAATTTAAAGTGTAACGCTTAAATAAATAACTTTGCTTTCTTTGACTTATTAGTTATATGTTAAGTATATTTGATGGTATTAAATATGTTTAACATGTGATAAATTTAACATTCTTTTTGTAAAAAATTTTAAAATTTAAAAAGTTTTTTTAATTTTACACATAGACACTTATACTTTAGCCTTAAATTGTATATTGCAATTACTTAAAAAATATCTTTTATATACTTACAAATATTTTATTTCTTTCTCAATAAAACTTAAAAGATTCCAAACATTTTGCAACTTAAGTATTATATGATAATGATAAGTAAGTTAGCAAAAAAACACTCATATTTTAATATAAATTGTTTGAAAAAATAATCGTCTATTATTGTGTGTAATTCTGTATAAACAAATACACGAAGGTGTATCGATCTCGATGAGTCGTTCAGCGTTTTGTTATGAAATCTTGCTGTCGATATTCATAACATTTCGGTCGATTTTCAGCACATTCACCGCCCGCCATTTTTACGGGCCCGCTTTCACTATGCTTTAACGGTAGTTTTTACTTGAATAAATGCATTAATTATTTATCTTTCTTTTTTTCTAGGTTTTTAAAATATTATAATAATGTAAAATATAAGATTTCTTTTCAGTTAACAATAATACAACAAAAGAGAGAAATAGAATATATTAATTATAATCATATAATAAAATATTATAATTATAATTATATTATAATATTAAATTTATTATATAATTATTATAATAAAATATATTAATAATTATAATAAAATATATTAATTTTTATTAATCATACTTAATAACCATACTTGAAACATTTTTAAATAGATCACTGAAATACATCGTTATCATAACGCAATCATTATGATAAACCTTTCTTTCTTAACTATTAATATCACGATTTTTTCATATGCGTTCTGGATATGTGACTTTGCGGAAAGAAAAAGCTAAACAGATTAGATATTAAAAGGAAGATAGTCGGTTATTTATCAAATTCTTTCATTGAATGCTTAGCTTAAATAAAGACGTCTGTTTTTCAGAGGAATCTTCCGCTATGAAGAAAATAATTTTTGACTATTAAGTAGTTACACACTTAGCACTTTATCTCTTTGTTGTTACTTGTTGCAACATTTTGTCAGAAATTTACAAAACTTATGATGTTCTAGTTAAGCTTCGTTAGCTCAATTTTGTAATATTAAATAATTTAATTATCATTCTGTATTTAGACAACGATGAGCGTAATTTATTATGTGCAAAAAATATTGTATATCATAATTAATAAAAAATATATAGGATTGTATAATTTTTAGATTAATTATTTGAAGAAAATTCATGTCGTATCAAATTTCCGTTAAATAAGAATTGATCATAGAATCCATGAATGAAAAAAACAATCTTATTTAGTTTATAAATTAAGTCGATTGGGATTGCACCGTTATCGTAAGAGGTGAATAACCATCTAGCACTCCTTCATCTTATTATCTGCATGATTTGTTTCTGACGGTGTCCTGATATGATGAAATTCGTGCGAGATCAGAGAAACTAGAGATAATTCGTTCACGCAATTATCAGACGTAGATAAATATGGTTGTATTTTCTCGTTGCGTATATGTGTTATCGCTTTCGTAAAGCAATTAGAGAAAAGATGATTACACGCGAAAAGACCACTGGAATTCCAGTTGAAACAGGAAACAATGCAAGCGTTGTTTATCGATAAAATTGAATAGCTGATTAATTTTCCACGATTCAATTATCAAATGCTTTCTACGAGAAAATAAATGCAGCTTCTTTTCCGTTGTTATCTTAGTGAGATATAATATCATTACACTAATCATATACAAATCGCTTAATGTTACAGAAAAATATATTAATTCCAATTAATTCTATTATTTTTTGCTACAAACTTCATCTACGATTGTGTGTGATTGTTTTAAAATCCACTGGATAACATTTAATAAAAATTTAAAGGAATGTTCATTAGGAAGGAATGTTTTTCAAAGAAATATAGACAGGTCAGAAAGATGAAAAAAGAAAGACAATACGTTATTGAGATACAATGATTCAAGAAAAATAAACTTAATTCTGTTATTCTTCTTTTTGTTGATATCAGATTGATCAATTATGTATGTATATTACATATAAATTATCTAAAGATAAAATCTAAGATAAAATAAATATAAATAAAGATAAATCTAAGATAAAATAAATATAAATAAAGATAAATCTAAGATAAAATAAATATAAATAAAGATAAATCTAAGATAAAATAAATATAAATAAAGATAAATCTAAGATAAAATAAATATAAATAAAACTTACATCATAAATTTTTTTTGATAGACAGATAATTGTTCAGTCATAGCATACAAAGTGTTCTAGAATTCTGAGAAGAACAAAATCAAAAATACTTTTATCAAAGTCTAGACTCGCTCTTGGTGACTCCATTTGCAAAAATCGCCATAAAAATATATTAAGTTATTTAATAAAGATTAATTTTTATTTATTGCAACGTTTTCGATTGTGCAATTCATTTTAGTTATCATAATAAATTGAACAAATATATGAATGAAATATGAATTTATTTATTTTTTTAATATTGATGGTATTCAATGTTGTAGTAATCGAAAAAGTAAAAAGTAAACAATAAATTCAATATGCAATTGCATTAACACAATAAGAATTGCATAGCATATACACAATACATCTATTACATGCAATTGTGCTCATCCTGCAATTGGCACTCATTCATTTGACAGTTTAGAAAATTGTCTCAAGGGGAATTCAGGCTCTAACTTACTAGACCTCAATTTTTATTAACGTTGAAAAGAAATCGAAGATAATATTCTGATGATTAATTGCGTCTTGATAATTCGTATCTCATTCACGATAAGACATATTAAACTGTATTTGAAATCAAATAGACAAATAGATGTACTTATATAAATTTGCACGATTATAAAAATTACATATAATTCAAATAATTTTGTACGTCAAATGGACAAAAAGAAGATTGAAGTATGTCGTTTTTGCGAAAAAAAAATTAAAATTAATGTTTAATATAACTAATTAATATTTATACTACAAATTTTAAACAAGAACATTAAGATAGATTAAGATTGAGATTTTATGATTCACACTAAAGTCGCGTCATTGACAATGAAAAGATTTAATTATCAGCAATGCGCAATAAATTAAAATGAAATGCACATTAAACATGCACTTGTGTCCCTGCCACAATTGTCAATAATCTAGATAAATATTGGTTATGGTTGTCATAAATTTTCAGTAATGAAGCTGATTACATCCAATGTCATTGAAAACGTTGCATGCACAAATTGCATATCCAACACAAGTAGATATTTTACTTGTTAGTTGTCTCCATGCATTATATATGCATAGTGATAACGTCTTATCAAGACAGTATACAGTAAGAGTCTACATCAAAAAAATATTATATGAAATGTGCACCTATAATAAGACGATAAATATTACACACACACATATATATATATATATATAACAATTAAATTGTTTTTGTTAAAGAAGCAAAGTTCATTTTATCAAATTGAAATAGCTTTGTGTAAAGTAATCCAAATATCTTACTAAGCTATTAATGTACAATAAACATGTACGACACAACAAAATGTCATAAAAGAATGTTAATTAATAATTAAAAATTATTTAAGAATAAAATGAGTAACAAAAACTGTGCGCGCATGAACAAATAAGATATTTCAGCAAGAGCAGGTAAGATATTTCGTGCTGTCAGAGATTTCATGCTGTATCAGGGATATTTGCTACTAGTTTAAGGAAGTGTCAATAGTAGCAGCTGTCAAATCAATAGCGTCGTTATCTTTTAATTATTTTAGATTCGTGTTATCGCGTTGAATATATTAGATAAAGTAGATCTAATAAATTTTCGATAACCGCGAAGTGGTTTTCGATTGTTCAAGATATCAAACATATCATTAACGTAACAAAATCGTGGAGAATCGTCGCGGGACACAATGAGGGCATTTGAAGGCTTAAACAGAGGCGTGCCACTTGTCGTGACTTCTGCGAGAGTAGAGGATCACGCATAGATTTCTGCGGTCCATACAATTTTGCAGAAGAACAGTCATGCAGTGTTTACCGTGATACTAACTGATTAACACACACTTGATCGGGATATATTATACCAGACCAAAGGAGAGACCAAAGGAAGAGGACTGTATCTGTAGAATGAGTTCGTATTGAAGTAAAAATTCACTTAAGCGTTCGACGGCAGCTGACACAACACGAAAAGCGTTCACGTCCACATTTCACGTAGTGTAGAAATATATATATCGTCGAAAATAATGAAAATTAACAAGTGATAATTAATTTTGTTAATCACCGAAAAATTTGTTCAAGAGATGGCAAACATGAATAAGAGTAAGTGAAGAAAGTTTTTTAACTATTATCGATATCTTCTTAACGCTTCAAATATTAATTCGCGATGAATTAGTAAAGGCCTTTTTTACTTTGTCGAACGTCATGTATATATAACATAATGAATTGCGATGACGTTTGTCTCAACTATACAAAAGCATATATTACACATATATAACTTGCGAACGTTGTATGTATTTTTTTCCAATTTAACTCACACCATGACATATAACTTTTTTGATCGTTGTATAATTATTATATAATTATTTCCACCTTATAAGATTTGTTTAAGAACAAAAATACTGATACATATATCATCGATCTTAAATTATATTTGTGTCACGAATCGCATTCATTCGCTTGACAAAACAATGATATTTAGATACCGCAGTATTGATCCTGGATAAAATTGCTGATATATTAAAAAGAAAAAGATCTATTTCTTAATATCTTGGAAACATCATATTTTACGTTTTCTAGAAAGGGAGTTGATTTCTTGCCGAGATGTTTTATGGTTCTTGGTTTTTTGCGGCTTCGCCATCAATTACATGCTGCGGTTAAATTTGAATCTTACCATTGTCGCGATGGTGATACCACATCCGAAACCCGCAGCAGTCACGCAGTGTAACATGGAGAACAGTACATCACCTTGGACCAATCAAACATCTGAGGATAACAACACCTTTCCTATTACGACGCCGTCCGTCGAAAATGTTACGGTATCCTAAAGATGATCTTTTTAAAGACTGTGAATCAAGTCTAACAAGAAGCGAAAGGACAGCGTTTCCCTCTCGATGTCTTTTTAATTTGCCATTTTATTTAGTACGAAGATCGATTCGCTTGGAACGAGTACGAACAGGGGTTGACGTTAGGTGCCTATTACTGGTTGCATTGGTTGACGCAGTTACCTGGTGGTATCCTGGCTAGGCGATATGGTACGAAACGCGTGTTCGGTCTGGGAAATCTCTTGACGGCTCTCTTAGGATTTTTCACACCTTACGTGACGCATCTCTACGCCTTGATAGTTCTTCGCGTGCTACAAGGATTGGTGGCGGTAAACTTACGTTCTTCCTAAAGTCAGGTTCCTTCAGGGGCTTCGATTCGTTTTTGAAATTCGCTTGTACTAACATGATAAACATGTTGATTTTTCTCTTATCTTCGTTTCAGGGCGTTATATGGCCGTCGATGCACGACATGACGGCGAAGTGGATTCCGCAATATGAGAGGAGCAAATTTGTCAGTGCTTATCTTGGTAAAGCGTTATCATCTCCATTGTCAGATCAAAGAAACAAGCATCATTAAACAGATTTCATTTGGTATGATTTTTAGGAAGTTCCGTGGGAGCTGCAATTACTTATCCCCTATGCGCGACCGTCACTAATTTCTTTGGTTGGGGTGCATCTTTCCACGTGACATCTCTGCTAGGTGTAATTTGGTTGGTAAAATTGCGTATTCGCGATAAAGTTCGGATGATTTCTTATTATCCAATTCCAAGAAAATTGATCTATCGCGAATCGCAGGTACTGCTTCTGGCACTTTCTCGTATACGACTCGCCACAGCAACATCCGCGAATCTCCAATGATGAAAAAAATTATATCCTCGACAATATCGCCGGATCCGTCGAGGATAAAGAGGAGACTCGGATACCTTGGAGGTCGATAATTCTATCGAGACCGATGTGGATCACTATCGCCGCGCATTGGGGCGCCGCTTGGGGTATTCTCACGCTCATGACACAGGCACCAACTTATTTTAACTTTATTCACGGATGGAATATCAATGCCGTAAGTTATCCTCCGCTGTAAATTAATTAATTAATTCTGGATCAATACTTATGTTTCACTACGTGATGGTAACGATCGAAATCCCAATTACTCTTACAGACTGGAATACTGGCGGGAGCGCCGCACCTCCTGAGGATGCTTTTCTCGTATTTTTTCTCGACCATGTGTGACTGGCTGCTCCGCACAAGACGAATGAGTTTGACGAAAGTCAGGAAATTAGCCACTTTCGTCGCCACCGGCATGCAGGGAATTTTCCTCGTAGCCCTCGGATTCAGCGGATGTCATCCGTTGTTCGCGGTCATCTTCATGATGATGGGTACGGCGGTCAACGGTGCCATGTCCGCCTCCACCTTGGCTAACTTCGTCGACTTGAGTCCTAATTACGCCAGCATCCTTCTTGGATTTGCCGGCATGATTATCATATGGGCTGGCTTCATCTCACCGGCGATCGTCGGCGCACTGACCAACAACAACGTAAATTTAATTTTCGAATTTTTTTAAATCGCAAATATTAAACGTATTTCGAAATTGTTATTGTCTCGTGATCGCGGATCAAGTGCTTCTTTTCGCGATAGCGTTAATTAAATTGATTTACTTGCAGCAAACTGTGGGACAATGGCGTTTGGTCTTCCTCATTGCTGCTGCCAATTCGATAGTGAGTTGTATCATATACATATTGTTCGGCACTTCGAAGGAACAACCGTGGAATCAGTATGTCAATTTGAACACGAAGGAACGAGAGATGCAGGAATTGACCACGGAAACCGTGAAGCATGAAAATGATGCAGAGGATACCGAAAAATCAAATTTTATTAAAGAGAGATACCGTAATAGGTAATCCTTAAAAAGTCTTAACGCAATTGCTCCAATTTTTCTACATATATAAGGATATTATTGAATAAAGAAGATGTTAACGATTGATCGTATATTTGTTGATAATATTAATTAATACACACATACAACTTATTCTCAAAACATTTCATCACAAGAAAATAAAGGAATGAAAGAGTGATATTATGTAAATAAATGCGAAACTATTTGCAATATGCTAAAACGCATGACTTAGATATATTTCAAATCACTAAACACACGCTCCGTAAACCAAACTCATGCATATTGAATTTTTGCATAATGATATATAACGCATTATATACCGTTTTCGCATGTGCACAATGTGTAAATTGCGATGCACAAGTTCCAGTAACAGACTTGACGGGTGACGAGTCGATTATTTCTATCGTACAGCCGACATCACATCCCTTCATTTTACATCAAAGAATTATCACAGCTTCTTTTCTGCTGTGAAGCAGATTAATTACCGCGCCTTATCCTACTTCCTGGACACGCACCGTGCGACTATCATGAAATATTTATCACTCACGGACCTTTGAATCATTGCATCTCCCATAAATAAAAAGTGCGCAGCGATCTGAATTGTCGAAACATACACTTTTTACAAATCACTGCACAAAAAGACATAATATGTAGATACTTTGTAAATAGATATTAAATCCAATAGCGATGTCACATCGAGACTTTTGCATCTTATAATTATAGTAAATCTTGTAAATTAAATAAAACAATTTTTCTTTATGTTTGTTCTAATGGGCACTTTCCAAATATTTATCCATATACTAATATCTAAGCTCGAATTAATCAAAATTTTATTCTAAGTTATAATAAATTTTCGCGTTTGCCGGAAGACTAATTTATGCACGGACAAATGCAAAGTATATATTTTCTTTTAGAAGCCACTATAATGCGACGTTTTAACGTTTTAAGGATAAATAATAAAAAAAAGTTTAATATATACTTAAGTATAACAAAATAAAATGCATATATTGTTAATACCTATAAATATCGGTGCAATATTTTTCTCATACTTTTCAATACAAAAATACATTAAATAAAAGCTCTAAAATTTCATAAAACATTGGTCTTTCTCGGAAAAAAAATGACAAGATATTAATGTTTCAATATACTCGTATTATAAATATTTCCAGCTCTCTCTAGAGCTATATTTTAAACATTTCTAGACGTGTTCAAAATACATTAAATACTCAAAACTCCAAAATAATAATCATGTAAATAGTTTGAATAATCACCAAGTAATAACTTATGCTATTTATCAGATAGACATTCATTGCGAGAAATGACGGTTCTTTATAACCAACTAATTGCGTAAATAAATCATTATATTAGCTATCTATGGTATCATTATCTAATAAAGTAGCAAATATAAATACCGGTAGAAAACACAGTTATGCGACTAGTATCGAAAGCGCGTAATAATAACGCAATAATAACAAATACAAATGCGCAATTGGAAGCTCAAAGCTTCTAAGTTTCGATTGATATGATAAAAGAATTCCATAAATCATAATGTCTAATTAATATTAGGCCTAAAATAGGAATCTTGTCAGATAAGTCAATCTTAAATTCCATTATATAAATTCGCGCATCACATCTGATTTAAATATATATTATATATATTATATATATTACTTTATATTTATATAAATTTTCTATATATATATTTATGTATTACGTATCTGTATGTGTGTACATATAATCATTCTCTATGTGTGTATTTGATAGAATTTCAAATATATGTGCCTCTACACAACAAGTGACTTTTATCATTTGTATTGATTTTAGGTCCTTCTATTATTTAATGTTGATCAATGCTACATACGTATAAAATAATTTTTTCGAAACAAATAAAGGGTCTCTTCAAATTCGTACGGCACATGAACTATAAGAAGAAATATTAAATTATTTTTAACAACAGAAAGAAACTTACAATAAAATATACGAAAGAAAAAAATAAATAAATATAAACACTTTTTATGCATGTTTTAAGATATTTATAGCTAGAATTAACTGTATTTTCGTAGTTTTTATGTTACTCTTGATTTTTGCTAAAATTTCAAGATCTTTACCATTAACACGTATACATATGTTATATATTCTTTTCTAGTTTTTATAGATCCATATTCAAATTTAATATTTAGATATTTAGATATTAAATTTCTGCACACTACCCTGTAAATGTAGAATTTCTTAATTATCGAAAGAAATGGTAAAGATTTTATCTAGAAGTTCAGAAAATTCGTTTCGAAAATTTTTCGCGAAGATAATATCCAGATTTTAAAAGGGCAGTGAATTTAAAGTGTATGAACACGTTGGCACATTATAATAGAAACATTTGTTGCACATTTTACCATAAATAATCTAAGATTTCAGAAAAATGCATTTGTTCATTGATCCTCGTTAGATGTACACTGTGTGAATATAGAATGCATATATATTTGTTGAAAAAACGTCAATATATATACTCTGGTAAACATGTAATAATTACTCCAGCAATACTGTAACGACAATTTCATTCCGATTTGGTAAATACTGTCAAATGTACTTTCAGTTCCCACCTGCGTCTAACGTGTGTTATTCTAGAACAGTTTATTTGCCTAACTTATATCCTACATCTCGTTTAGACCTGTGCAACGTATCTGATCGTTCTAATCATAGCAAGTACGAATGCAACAATAGATTAAGTTAGACAGTCATTACTAAATTCATTATTCCTATCTAGAGAATGATCTTATTTTAAAGCATCATTAGTCTTTGTTTGCCTCTGATTGTTTGGTGTTCAAAATTGAACATGTATATATTCATAATACATTTTTTCTAACATACATTTAATACGAATAAGTTTATTATTGCAAAAAAATTATCGCGTAACGTATTATACGATGATTATAGGAAATAATAATGGCACTATTTTTTCTTTATGTAAGAATTTAAGCGAAATTTAAGTAAAGAGTACCTAACGACAGTTAATTATTTTGTTTTCAAAAATATTTGACGACTCTAATCTCAATATAACATAAAAACTCTTTTAAAATATTGTTAAACAAGTATTTGTAAAAAATGGCACTGTTCTAAAAAAGGTTGTAGAAGACTCAGAGCACAGACGCGTTAATTATTCTATAAAGGATTGTGCAACTTTCCTTTTATCTTTACGAGTAAGGAACCTACCGCGAAATTAGTCAATTATTTAATTATTTTTTTGTGCACTTTTGCGCAGTATGTGCTATAAACTGTCGTTTTGATTTTAAACCTCATCCTTTGTCTTACAAAAAATTATGCGCGTTGAATTGTACGCTATGTAAAATAAAGTCAGAAAAGCTAGACGAAAAGCATTATTAGTCATTAGTAGGTGGATCCATAGCACATATTATAGCTTTCATTACGCTGGCCGCTGCCAACGCCGCATAAGGCTGCCATTCTTTGATTCGAGTACCATCTTTGTAATCGGCAATTCCGCGAATTACAACGAAATTCTCGCGGCAATTACCCAAAATACTTTCTACAACAGCATCCATTTCCGCATCAAACGCGAGCGCACCGAATCGACTTGCAAACTTTTGCCTAAGTTGTTCGTCTCGCGCGACTTGCCGACCAGATGCTACTGGTGCCAAGTGGATTCGGGAGCACCCATCGGTTCTAATAATGAAATATTAATATATAATTATATATCAAAATATATATAATAAAATATTGAAGAGAATTATTTTTCGTCAATTACCTTTTATTTATGGAATCCATAGGAGCAGTTGGATGAGATACTTCAATGACATCTCTCTCCCCAATAGCCATATACAGCTTATCAGATTCTGGCGGTGGTGGATTAAAATCATGTTCCGATTGGTTGATTAAATTCTCCAAACCTTCTTTCATAAATGTTTGCCACGGTGGAAGCGCTTCGTTTTCAGCCTACAAGAAAAAAATAAATATTTTAAAATAAAAAAAGGAATATAGGAATACAGCATTATTTGATAAAGATTTTTCTAACAATCTTTTTATGCACATTCTTTCTGAATTTATGCACATTCAAAAAGAATTGCTTTTATTGCCATAGGATGTTGCTGTTTTTGACACATTTAAAATATAACCAGAACTATATCTTTTCCTCTTAATAAGTCAAATTGATAATATTAATTATTAATAAATTACCTGTTTCTTAAGAGTTGCCGCAATTTCTTGAAGACCGAGATTCGGCGGGCAATATTCCTTGGTCTCAAAATGATAATTTCCGTTTTCGTTCATCTTGGCACTTTCGCAATATACATATGTATATTTCTTGTTAAGTGGCGTCGGATGCGATATCACTACGTCACCCAGTCGCACATGTTTGTTGTAATCTGTATAATGAGGAACACCACCACCAACTCCAACGAGAAAAACGAAATCCACTTTTTGGAACGTACCTGCGAACACATGCAAGGATTGTATTGAAAGACGGAAAATTATAACAAATGCAATAAAGGTAAAAGAGACATATATAATGTATAAAATATATAGTTTTAAAGAAAATACTGAATACATACCTAACAATCTAGTAGTGGTATTGCCAGCTGCAGTCATTGCTTCCCTGGTGTGTCCCACAGTTGGCAATTTAGTGCACACAATTCTGTGCGTACCGATATTGCCCAAAGTATACACATTTGATTCTCCTATAACAAACAATATCTATTTGTTATCTATATCTTTATGTATCTTGGAGTTTATATCTCCTTTTATTTTTGATTTGCATATGATACATGTGCATTGTGCGGCTATCAATAAGGTAGATGTAACCTGTGTTATATGTGACAATAAAATATATAATAATCCATTCCATATATGCATTTCCTAAGTCTAGTAACAATACTAGACACAATAGAGAGAAATAAGTGGTATCAAAAGTTTATTCAAAATCGATATTTAGTATCGTCGAAAAATTTTATGGATTTTGAATATATTTTAAGAGATACAGTTACAGTTCAAGAATAAAAAAATTCTGTTAAAATTGTCAAAGACAGAAAGTGTTATGATTGATTAAAGAAAGAAATAAAATTCTTTTCTGTCTCTTCAGGAGAGAATAAATATTTAAGAAATTATAATATTATTCAAATATAAAAATTAATGAAATAATGTATAAACCATATAAAATGAATATAATAACCATATAAAATGAATATAATACAAAATATAAATAAGCAAAAACAACAAAAACGTTACACATAACAAACACAAAGCTATACAAAACATTCACAATATAAAAAAAATTATTTTGATAAAAATTTGACTAATATAATACATCAAATAATTTGTAGCATGATATAATGTGTTTCGAAATGTACATTTGCAGCATCATTTTGCCCTGCATTGTTCTTCGGTCACAAGCAATTGGCAAGCTATGAAATGACATTAAAATGGTAGAGATTATGTTACAAACTACTTTACCAAAACGGCAAATCACTCGCGGAACTCCATTTGTTGTGTCTGGTGAGCTTGCGGTACCTAAAGTTTCATGCATAGTGAAATATATTCCTATTATCATTGAAACATTTGCGAACAATGTAAATCTTACAGTTATATTTGCGGGAGTGAAAAAAAAGAAGGAATAACTAAGTAACCAGAAACACTAAATTGAAAATTTATTAGATCTATTATATCTATTAGATAAAAATATTTTAAAGATAATTATACGCAGAAATTAATTTTATAAAAAATTGCAGCTAGGAATAAAAGCAGAGGAGTAAAACTAATCCTTTAATATTCTGACAGAATTCATTTATTTAATAAAAGAATAGAATAAAGAAATTAGTTTACTTTTTTCAAAATTCTGGTATATTACGTTTAAGTGTTATAATTCCAAAATTATTCTCAGATATAAAATATATTTTAGAGTAGTAAATAGGAAAAGATCTTACCAACGGTAGTGTAGCGGACAAAGGTTTCCTTATTTTCAATCAACGAATCCACAGCGAGCTTTTCACAATATTGAGCTGTAATGATAGCTATGGTGGGTTGTTTCGCCATCGTCGGCATCTGCTTCACCACCTAAAATATATATTTCAAAGTATTAAATACATATAAGTTAATGGAAATCGGCTAAAAAGGTTGTATATAAGTAAATTACTTGAACTTGAGTATCCTCGACGACGCGAGTGAAAGCTCCATGATCCATCGCTTTAACAAGCCCTTTCTCTTGAAGCTCTTTCAATTTAGTCTCTACGGCTGATGGTTCCCATCCATGTTCCCTAAAAGTAAAATTATCGTAATGTCTTTTTGAATATATTCTTTCTCTTTCTCTCTCTCTCTCTCTCTTTCTTCTCTTTCTTTCTCTAATATGTATTTTTATATATATAAATTTCATTAAATTTCATTAAATTCTAAAAATAAATACTTACTTGGCTATGTCAATTATAGTAACCGGATTTGGATAGGCGGACTCAATTAGCTCCAGAACTTTTTCTACCGTTAGCTCAATTACTTGACCCATGACGGTCTCGTCTGTAGATACTTTTAATAAAAAAAAAAATAAGAAACATTTATTTAATCGTACAATTAAATCACGAATATTGCGATGAGTCTGTCAGACTTTTAAGCCGCAAATGCCTATTGTAATTTTTAAATGACAGTTAATAGCATTGAAACAAGAATACAGCACTCCATAACATATGCAAGTTAAATTTTCTGCCATGTGAGTGTAGATGAGTCTACTCTCGTGTATCAGGTAAATTTCTAATCTGTCCAAGATAGAAATATGTGTGGAAGTTTTGGAAGTAATATAGCTGTAAAAAGTGCACAGTTTAACTAGTCTTTGTTTCTATATCTAGAGTCGATCTAGAACCGTTAGTGAAGGATACAGCTAACATGTGTGTATGGTAGTGGAGAACTTAACACATATATGTATATGGCAACTAGTGACCATGAGTAGAAGGTTCGTGCTCTACATGGATGCATTTCCTTACAGAATGAAGACTAGAATGGTAACGTACTATATAGTATGCTAACGAATAATCATTTAGGAAGATAGTTAGAATGAACAAATAAATGTGACTGTTGAAGATAACTAACGTGTGCATATGCTTCCGATGCTATGAATCTCCATGTTTAAAACTCAATGCAGATTTAAAGTCAATGTGTGAAATAACAATGTCAAAATTAAACAAATCCATAAACAATAAACAATTTTAAATAACTGTTTATTGTGTAATCTTGTATCGAGTGTATATTGGGCTGTAAAATGTATTATGTAATGGACAATAATTTTTATCTATAATCATGCTGTGAGGATAGATATGTATATTGTACATTGTGTAGGGAATACGATATCCAGGTCAAGTCAAGTGGTTAAATGGGCTGTTTTTTACACTCCAGTTAATGTATTCTCTAGTGATTAATCGTTCGGGTAAACAGGTCGGAAAATCTCTTACATAATCAAAGTGCGTAATAATTTTTATAAACCCGTAACACATTTTATTTAATTTCATTTAAAAGAATAAAAATAAATTATTTTTTTCATATTGCTGAATAGAGCATCGTAATATGAATCAATGCAATGCAGATCATAACCAGACTTTGTTAAATCAATGTTGTCATGGTTACCAGATTATTATGTCAAGCGATAGATATATAGATCTATTAGTCAAATAGGAAATAAATTTCTTTCCTTTTAATCTAGAAAAATTGCACAAAAAAATTGCAAACACTTTGTTGAATAATTATTGTGTTACGAGAAACTATATTATGTGTGTCAGTTTTGTTTGGACTATTAGCCTGTGTTTGAGAAAAGAAAGAGAATAAACATCAATGAAATGTGACAGAAATGCTGAATTTTTTTCATTCTCGAACCTGATCTCCACATAACTTTCTCAGAGGAAGGAAGTGTGAATAGTAAGTGACCCGTAGCTGTGAATAATAGAAATTAGGTATGAAATAGATGTTCACGCTCAATACAATCTAATTGTGAGTATGGAATGCACATGGGAAAAACTCTGGTTTAAATCACGTAATGGATATACGAGTCACCAAGAGTTTCAGTCAAGTATGCATTTCCTTTCGAGTTCAGTTACAACGCGCACTTGAGACACGCACTTGAGACACTTGCTTTAATATCTTTCAATAAGGAAGCATTAAGACCAATCAGCTTAATCAAATGGTTGCTAATCCCCTCTCCTTCACTCAGTATAGATTTTTGTTTTATTAAGCCAAAGATTACATTTGAGAATGAGAATGTACGGAGGAAATGTATAAAGATCTAGATCTAATACGCTGTAATTATTTGTGATATATTAATAAAAATAAATTATTATTTACTTACATGGCCTGCTTGGAAGGGTTATTGGTTCTTCCAATTGTCTCAATTCCACCTCTAATTTTTTGATACTGGGATATTTATGTTGCATCAACTTCATTATTTTTTTAATAAATCCCACATAATCTGCGGAAAATAATTAACATTATAGAGCATTATACAACAAAAAAAAATGATATCAATCATAGAAACATAATTATACATATACAAAAAATTATTCGATATCAATATAATTTAGTAAATGCTAAATTTGTTATTCCTTCTTAGACATCATATAGAATTTCACAATCGTTGCTTTTCGTTTCCAACGGTTTAAAATTAGATATCGGTGTTCGTGCTTAGAAAGGAACAAAGAAACATCGGTTCATTCAGACTCTACAGGCTGATCGGATTACATTTGATCTCGAGAATATAGTTCTCAGAAACATGCACGAGCTATCAATCGATGTTGTATCGTATTACAATTCACCTCTAGGAAACTCTTGCGGTGCGACAAGCTCCCTGAAGAATTCTTGTGCAATGCTCGGCTGTTCTGCTTCGGCAAGCGTATCAACAAACCAAAATTGGAGAGTCCTCTGTTCCTGAGTGTGCTTTCCAGTTTGTGCACTGACCAGGAACACTCGGAATTGCAGGCAGAGCTGAGCAGGACATACCTCTCCATTGATCACTGTAATAATTGGATATTAAATATGCAAATGCATTCGGATGTTAAATCATCAATCAACTGAGGCTGTAAAAGGGCATCATACCAGTCGCAGCTTGCTTATTAATGACGATCCCCTTGTGATCACCACCAGCGACGTGAACGTTGTTCTCGTTACCATTCTCTGCTGGGGGATCCAGGGCCTGCCTCTCGATTATCAGCGTTGTGGAATTTGTTGTCTTGCACTTCGGCGTCATGACGATGTGCTCTGTTCGATGGTAAAGAAAAAAAAAACAATGTTTATAGAGGATCTCTTATCTTTGTCCTTATCAGAGATGCGAGATAAAATCGGAGCACCGCATCATGACTTCGTCAAATTTCTCTGTCGATTTCCTCATATTTCTTTTTCTTTTTTTTATTCAACACATTGATCCAACGGACGACAGCTGTTTGCGGGAAACGCGACAATCCGATCGATCTCGGAGCGGAAAATCATTTCCCCGCCCAAATCTCTCCCTTTTTCACTCCTGTTTGAATTCACTTACCAGTCTTTTCGTCCATTTTTGTTAGCGTTGTTCCGTTTCGTCTGTTGTGATATGCTATTGTGCCCTTGCAAGAGTGACAGGAAGGTGCACCAAACCAGAACGCTCCGTGACGCAACGCAAATACAATGCTAACCTCCGCTCGGATCGACGAGCAGCCGCTGACTGTCACCCACTGGCGTCACCGACTTTTTTTTTTTTATTACGCGACTCTTCACCGCGGATCGGCGCTGGCGCCTGTGGAGCAGCAGCCGATGCATCATCCCTCCTTATCCCCTCCACCAACACTTGTTCATTATAAATATATTCCTTGACTTATTCCACTCCGTTCGTTTGGACATTTCGCGGAATATTGGTGGGAGAAATTTACTAATTCAGAGAAAATAGCCAGAAGATACTTTAATCGATGAGCTGGCACAAAAGTCATCATTCTAATTGCTATCAATTATTTACCGATGCGTCACCGCTCGTGAAATGACATCATCGATACATATAGGATGACCTGATAAATGCGAATGTTTGTAGCACGAAAAAAGCACACGATACAAAAAATTGACATATTAAAACAAGATGTATGCTTAAAAAGATTTTATTTGCAATATCTCACAACAACGTGTTGCATTAATTTAAATGAAATATTACAAAAATGCCTAATAAATACATTTCTTAAAATAGCGATTATTACGAAAAATGAATGAATAAAACAAATTAAATGAGGAAATTATTTGAATTAGGAATTATATATAAATACAATATAACTTAATAACTATGTTTTTTCTTTTTACAACGTTATAATTCAAAAAATTTATCTTCATAACTTTCTATCAGAGATTTCAGTTCACTAAATTTGGCATTATGTAATACGTTATCATAAGTACTAGTGGTATCGATAAATTGTATTACGAAACATACATATTGAAGTTTTATCAGCAAATTATTTAAAATAATGTTTCAAAATATGATCAAAGAATTATTTACAATTTCAATATTACAGATTTCCTTAATATCTCTAATATCTTTAATATCTCTTATCATGTTTTAATTAAACGCACATATTGGAATAATTATTAATGTTTAACACGGCGATAACATGTATATCTCTGAAGCATTAAGAGTTATTTTGATAGCCAATTTCCATTAATGATGAAGGATAAAAAATTGGCGACTAATTATTTCATATTACATTCAATAAAATCAGAATATAGTAACTTCCTTCCTCGAAAAATTCTAATTTTATAATATTTATACAACTGAAATATAATTAATTTTAGAAGGAAATCACTAAACTAATTAAACAAAATTATAATTATCTTAGAGGCACTGACGAAATAGATGTCATAGATGTCAACGAAGACGGTCCCGAACTAAGATTAAGTTTGTCCAATTCTTCATCTGCTTTATTGTTCTTCAGATCCTGTTGTGTGTACAGAAACTTATTCCATTCATCGATTCTTGGATGAGCTAGATGCTACATTGAAAAAAAATTAAATGTAATATATTTTCTTAAGAGTTTTAGTATACAATATTATTAAAATTATATATTAAATTGTATAAAAAAATTGAGAATATTTCTGAAATAATTTATTTACACGTACCTCGGCGACGTCATAGACCCATATTTTACCAGTATCGTCACCGACAGTGACGTGCAATCCACTCGGTGTCCATGATATCCTATTCAAAGCAGGAGATCCATCGACGACAACGCTAGCAGTGGGTACTTCCGTATCCTGATTCAGATTCCACAAATCCAGTCTACCGGAATCATCAACAGCGGCGAACAGTGCTGGATGTGTTGGTGACCAAGCAACGTCATAGACGTAATCACCATTATGTTCGAAGGAATAAAGTGGTTTGTTCTCTTTCAGACTCCAGAGTTTGATAGTCCAATCAAGAGAAGACGTCAGGAACAGATGGGAGAAATCTATCCCACCCTGCACCGCGTGTGCGCTAATGCCAGTGACCGGTCCTTGATGACCCTCGTACGTTTCCGTCAACCCGGCACGGCTACCGTGTCGGCAGGCTATTTGACAAAATGTTAAAATTAGTAATTCAAATGTACATCACGTTACACATAGCAACCGCGTTTACCTGAGTAAACGGTCCCGTCCTCGCTTCCCATGACGAAATTGTTGACGTCACCGTGCGGAAAGGCCAAGCATGTGGCGGCAATCGCTTTCGATTGTTTTGTATGTAATTCCAATGCCTCTTGCGGCTGCGACAGCATGTCCAGGCTCCATGAGCACAATTTGCCATCCGTCGAGATGCTGATCAGATTGTGCGCATTTTGCGTTCCGACGACGCTCAAACAGTACACCGGATGCTGCGAAATAAGTAATTACTTCCTCACTCTCGCGCTCCAGACTATCAAACTTTAATTAGCTAAATGATAAATCACTTACGGTGTGGGCGGTGGCGGACAAGGGAGTGCGTTGGATGGGAGTTCTCTTTTGCACTCGATTGTCCCAGAGCACGATCTGGCCCGAGTAAGTGCCACCCAGAATCAAGTTTGGATGAAATCTGGCGAACGTGGTAGACATGACGGGTGATTGACAATGGAAGATAAATTCTGGGGTTGTTTTCTTGAATTTCGTGTTCCAGATTAGGCATACTCCATCAGGATCATTTGGAGTATCGTCATTGTTGTTATACGAAGCTGCCAAAAGCTCGGGGAACTGCGGCGACCAATCCATGGAGGTCACACAACGATTACGGGACCATCGCTCACAAATGAACGAGCGGTTTAGCCACAACCGCTGATGACTCTTTTCATCCCTGCAAATTCCGTACCGCTTACAATTCACCGTTTTAAAAGAATTGATAAAAATTCTTCCAGTTGTCATTCTCTCTACTTACATTCCATCCTCGCCATCCATAGTGCCAGCATAATCAGTATAGATATCTACTGATTCGCCCAATGCTCTTTCCACGATTCTGCTAGTGCGATCGAGAAATCGTTGGAAATCTTCTGACAAGATAATCATTTGCTTCTCTTCTTCGCTCAGCTCCCGTACTGCACAATTGATAAAAATAGGGATAAAAATCAGGATTTTTAGTTAATTGACAGAATCAAATGTTAGGGGGGGGTTAAGTTTAGTTACGTACCTTCTTTCTTAGGCTTTTCCTTTTCTTTCTCTTGCTCTACCTGTGTAACGGCAGGCTGGACTTCTTTAACTTGCGGTAATCCGTGAGGAAGGATTCCCGGTGGGAGCTTACTCTGGAAACCGTCCATGTGCGGCAAGCTATTTTCTTCGTCTTCGGCTTGGCCATCATCAAATGTCAAAACTGTGGTGAATAAGCTGATTCCGCCACAAGTACCCTAACTTGGATGTAACTACCTAGCTACTGAGCTACCTATTTGTTTACAGAGCTCGACTAACATTCTAACGAATTCATTAAACCTTTCAGAGATACTGTTTTTAAATTAAAAAAAGGAAAAAAAACTAGAGTCTTTTACGACAAATATTGAAATGCTTTGAAAAATGTTTATAGCGCAGTAATCTATCGTCTTAAACATTCACATATAAGAGAAAAAAAAAAGTACTGCGCATAAAAATCCTAACATTCATTTCTGAAAACTGATTTTTATTTCTGTTTTCTACATCTCAAGTGACGAAAAAAAATTATATACCAGCGAGTTATAAAAAAAAAATAAAAATAAACGCTTTTTTTTTTTCTAAAAGACTAATATTTTTCTAATATAAATTACACAGATAATTGCCGACTTGACAAATAGTTAACAAAATTTTATTTCGAAGGAGCAACATCTAGAAGCATTGATAAATGCTATATCAAATAATTTACCATGCTAAAAACGTAAGATTTCATATATATATATATATATATATACGGAAATAAAATTGAGTGTGAGCCTAGATGACATGCAAAATTAGCCACATGTACGAAAGGTGGACTGCTTGTTGGTGGACTGTCATAAATAATATTTAATTTTATATATTTTTTTTCATCTTGTCTCCTTTTTTCAATTGTGTCTCTCCACCCTTTGTTGGCATGCAGTATCGATGAAGTGAAACAGTATGTAGGAGATGCGAAGAAAAATGAATGTGAACATTACAAATAATAGGAGATTATTAATTTCCCCTTTACCAGTGTAATTATCACTACATTATTGATTTATAATTTTCAACGGGAATCGCGTGAGTGGTAGGATGTGACAATTGCAAGAAGTTTTCACCATCTCTCTCTTATAACGCTGTATAATGACTAATGAGAAATAAATGAAAGACCGATGAACAATAAAATCGGAAAGAAGTGGGTTTACAGCCGCGACGTTATGTAAATTCTTCTTTAAAATAACAAAACAATAAACAATGCGTATCGAGTGGAGACTATTTAACGCAACTTTCCAGGTCTCATGCAGTACTGACTTAATAAAGTACAACGATAATTGTGACAAATAAAATAGTATCTACGATTCTCTATTACTTTACTTTCCAAAAATAATATAGAAATTAATAAATTTGTAATAAAATCTTAATTGGAGTGCTAAACATATTCAACTATCAGGTGTAGCTTCCAATATAAATCGTTTTCAAAAAGATAAAAGCTCAATATCTCTGCATGCGCGGTAAAGCGAATTTATTATCTTGAATTATGCAATTATGCAAAGAAAAACATAATAATTAAAAAAAATATAAAATAAAGCAAATCATCAGGCAACTTGTAAACGCTAGCGGTAATTCCCTCCTCTCAATGCATATATAAGACAGAGACGACAAATTGCAATAAGAAAATTACGTGAAGATTATATTTAAGGCGCAACTTTGTGAAAGTGTGAGGTAGAATTATGGACATGTCCGTGAAATAATTAGGCAGAGTGAATCGTCTCTAGAGAGGAATTACCTACCTGTAAATTCGTCCTCCCATTCTAAACCAGGATTTAGATTGTACTCGTCTTGAAGGAGGGAAAAGAAAATGTCAATCAATTTGATATCCTATTTGCCGGAATTGTTTGTAGCGTTTTTTTAAATATATATATTTTTCTATATGCATTATTGATGCATAATGATACATGAACAAAAGCTAAAAGTTACTTGAGTCTTTTATTTCGCGAATTGAACAATTTTAACGCGAAAATCTTCGCTGAAGCTTCTACTGTCATTCTACATCATTCTAATAACGTATTGCAATATAAGATTCAACTAACTTTTCTTATTTTGTCATGCAAAATACATCAACAATTACTCAAGAAACTTGAAAGTAATAATTGAAATTGATAAATTATAATTGATATGTCTATTTACAAGCGTACAATATTCCCATTAGCAACGGCTTTGTATATTTTAAAGCATATGTAAAAACTGATTTGTTCTGAAAAATTTAATAAGAAAAGCTCTTTTTATTTTTTTAAGTATTTGAAAGCATTTCGAATTTAAATCTAGGAATCTCTGAGTTTTCATTTCTATATATACAATTTCAAAATATTTGTTTTCACGTTAATTGATATAGAACACGATGAGGTAGGATATTTCTCGGAAAATAAATCTGGCGCAAAAACTCATGATTAGTAAAATCTCAGAAAAAAGTTTCCATGACAAATAAAATGAAGACAAGTAAGGGATCATGAAATTGAAACGATTTAAATAGAAAACATACTGACATCTCCGACTATTAAAATAAAAATTGTACGTTCTTTCCAGTTCTTTCGATCAATGACACATTGAATTAATTTAAAGTAAAATTATTTTAAAAGTTAACTAGCAGCGAGGATATAAACCTGTCAACATTCATATAAGATAGGAAAAAAAAAAAATACGCAACATACATATTTTGAGAATGCTATACGGCTACGCTGCGATATTATATTCATGGACATATATATGCCTGTCGTTGTAACTCTGTTAATTTATTAGTTTTATTGCTACGCCACCCTCGTGCTGTTAAGAAGCAATATTCTACGACCAAGGAATGATTTATAAAAAAAAATTTCCTGTACCACTAAAAGCTCAAGCGACATATCTTTATGTAAAGTATTTAGATGTTATATGTTATATCAGAGGTTTTTTAAAATTTTTTAAAAACAAAGTCAAAGTGTACCGAGAGTAATGTGTCTGTTATTTTCAACTTGAGTTCAGTTAATATCCCACAACACTTTAGCTCTATAAAAATTGCTTTTATATTAGTAAGCGTGGACGATGCGTTAGTATTCCCAAGGAAGTAAAGACCGTGAGCATCGCCGAGATCTCTGGAAGGTGCGTTAAGATGTGACAAGATTTGCCAATGGATATTTCTCTCAAAAAATTCTGATATCCTTGACATGCCATCTCTGCGATGGCATCAAAAATATCATTACGTCAAACAGTTGTCAGAGCTTTCATTTGACAACATCTAATTATCGTGCTTCTTTTCATACCTTTTCATTTTTTTAATAAGATCGATAAAAAAAGAATATCTTTTCTGATAGCATGCCTGGTGCGAAATTAGTTATATATAATATTGTAGACAGCCTGAAAATATTGCGAAAATTGTGTTTGAAGAAACGTCGAAACAACCATCTTCGAAACTTATGCATGCTTCCCGAAAGTCAGTAATTTGCGGATAGATTTATATAGTGTACGCGATAGATTTTCTTTGTTGTATAGAGTCGGGATGTCAGATAAATATTTGGAAAATAATAGATAAATAAGAATAAATGCATCCAAAAATAGACAAACGTAACGAAGAAGAGAATCGAAAGAGGTATAAAAACATATCCATAAGACAGCAAAGACCAATTAGATTCCGGGTGGAGAGTTGCTTTGCATTCCGTATTAACATTTTTTTATGGGAAACGCTGAATGAATTTTTTTATGGGAATTCGAAAGATGATATTTTTTTACTCGTTTTCTAGACTCGGCTATATCTATAATCTATGAATAAAGGCAAATAGTCTAATAATTTACAAATATATAATAATTTCACATAATGAAATGTACTGATGGGCTATGAAAAATATACTTTTGCTTTTGAACAAATTAAAAATCTATTAACAATTTCTCTTAACGTCTATTTTGAATAATTTGAAATAATATGTAAAATTTAATCTAATCAAATATGCGTTTTCTACTATTAAAAATGGTGATGCTCAGTTTCTCATAATATCTTTCTTTCAGAAATAATTGTTGCCTCAGGCAATATAAAACGAATCCAAGCTAAACCTAACTCTGAACCTAAAAGTCGCTTTCCAAGAACCAAGAGAAATCATAACTTACCGTAATAGTCGAATGCATGAGCTGAGAAGGGGAGGGAAAAAAATTGTACTTAGTTACGATATCATAAGAATGCACTACGCTAATAACACCTCTCTACACTCAGTCTCATTAGTTTCAAATAAAATAAAAGTCAACGGCAAAATGCAAAACCATACAAAAGTATAGCAAATAATTTTGTGACTGTGATATGGCTAACTATTTAAAAATTCTACTATTCGACATATCCTATAAAATGTAAAAATTTTTATATACTGTATAATTTGTTCGTGAAAATTTTCAAAAAAGCAGATTACAATAAAATCATAGACATAACTTTCAAGTATCTTGTATCTTAAAATAAAAATATTACGCTGAATGTAGTTAGGTGAATATAATTTTGTAAATTCTTATATTGTGCGGTGCTTCGGATCCTAAGTATAAGAGGAAACGTACATATTCAGAATGTTTTATCATTTTTAGGGTAATCAATGTTCATCTTCCTTGTTCAACACTTTCGTTTACTGATTATCGATTCAATATTGTGGCGAAAAATTTTCATTTCTTTTAGTTATGCCTAACAGATGCTTTTCGACGAATGAGCTGCAATATCTCACTTACATCCCTTGTCACATTTAGGCCCACCCTCTAAATTTCTCTTAAAATTGATCTTGCCATCGTTGGTCTTGTTAATATATGGAAACAATAAAGCAAATAATTATAAGAGGATAAAATGGATATCATAAAAATTAACGCTTTATCAAGAATATTAAAAAGTATCTCAAAAGAAGCTATTTTTATATATCATTAGAAATGATCGTGATTATATTTAAAGATATTTACTTGGAAAAATATTTTGTGTGAGCACAAATATCAATTCTCTACCAGCACGCATGAGTCATGGCATAACAATCTTGTAAAAATTTAATTTTGTAATTATAATTTTGTAATCGTATGTTTTCCCAACAAACAGGACGCCTAGAGTTAATGTGCTGTGTAATCTTAACTTTCTGTCAGTTTAATTATTTCATTAAACTATTAAAGCGTGAGTAAGCTTATTTTTTTATATGCAAGCAAACGATCATCTCTGTATGTGGAAGTAAAATTGTCAATTTAAGAAGATAGCCAAAACAAATATAAAAAGTTATCTCACTACAGTACAGTATATATAAATTTGACTAAAGTACTATAAAATATATTGAAATTTCCACATACGAAACTTTTGCGGCACAGTTTAAATATGAAATTAAGTTATCATAGCGATTTATATAATCTTCATGACTCCTCGTTGCCTTCACATAAATTCAAATATATGAAGAACGAAAAATCAAAGATCTGCGGAGCAATGTTTAAAAAGCAGAAAGCACCCCAAAAGATTAAACTCTACATCCCTTCGCTTGGAACGCGATGTATCTCTACCTTCCGATGTGTATCTCTACCTCTATAACGTAACGTCGTACGACAATTATGGAAGGGTAGTAAAAAAGTAGACAGAACATACATAGGTAGTTTGGTGCAGACCCACCTTTCCTGGGACGCCACCAGTCAGTCTCAAAGTAGCCTGCGGAGCAAGAGTGAGTTGGTGTTGTTGTTGAACAGGAGGAGTAGATGGTGTATGCAGAGGACGATGTGGACAGTCCTTGTGTCCAACACCGGATGAATCGATCAGATTGTATCGCAAGACAAGGGAACACGCGTATGTTTAATTAACACCGCAAGATCAGTTAGGTAAAAAGCAGAAAAAATGTATCATGTCTATACAAGATGATTTAGAATGTGTGCAACAAACTATGACATTCTTTATTCAGAATAATCTGTCAAAGTTTGTTACATTCGTTCTGGATCACCGTGTATATATGACAATACATATATGTGTATATATATTTTTGATACAATATTGTCCCCCATGTCCATTCAAAGCAATAAATTGAACAATTAGATCTTAAAAGGGAGTATTCTTTTCTATCACAATTTAATTAAATTCTATCCTGGTTAATATTATATTATCTTTTATTGCAGTAAAGTAGGTGGTATCAAAATAAAATATATGAAAATATATCATGTTATATAATTTGTTAATCATCAACATAAATCGTTTGTGATTTTTATAATATTAAATAGATTATACGATCAAGATTAATCAGTAAAACATATAAATGTAAGTGTTCAAAAACTAACTGAATTTGCGGTTGTGTCATGGAAATGAAAATGTTGTAATGTAGGAAAATGTTGCCACCACCAAAAGAATTGTGAAACCAAACCCAGATTGATTGTTAGACGCTTACTATCCTGATGTATACTGACTAATATATTTCTTATACACATAATCTGAGGCTCACATTAAAAACTATTATTCATTTCCATTTATAATAATAATTTTAATATAGCAATAAGAAGTGATATATTATTTATTTTTCTTATATATTAATTTAAATATTGTTAGTATAAATGTTTAAATATGTGTTAATTAATATTTATGTCACCACATAAACAGAACATGTTATGTTTCTTTTAATGCTGAGTATTATTTGAGTAACAAAATATAAAAAAATCATATAAAAGTGTTGAAAATTATTAATCCTTCACAGATAATATGAAGGAAAAATGCAAAATAATAATTGCGTTGTAATGAATTAATTAAATTCATGTTTTAAGAATATGTAAGTTTCCTCACCAGTTTAAAGTTAATAATACAAAACAATTTAGAAAGTTAACTCAATTTTATATTTAATTCAAATTTTATATTTAACTCAATTTTAATATTATCACTTTAAATTTAAAAATTAAAAAAAATTGCACTTGTGTGATTAATAATATAATATTATAATTTATTTCAGTCGTAGTTAATATACGAAATAGCAAAAAAATAGTTAAGATTTTAGTATGTAGTTACAGACAAGTTGTAACACAAAAATAACATAAAAAAAGAATATGACAACATACTGTCTTTCTTGTAAACCACCCACTTTACCATAATCAATTATGAAAATTTGTGGAAATTATGGAATATATGTAACTCGATGATATTTCAGTGATCTTAAAACACACACACATGTGAACACGCGCTTCGAACTTGTGAATTTATGTTGAAATGAATATCGATAATTAATGGAATTATCTAGTATAAAATAGCAAGAAATAGTTATATTCATATAACATATAATAAAATTTAATATGTATCTTGTAGTCAATTAATTGAATTTCAAGAATCTCCAAAAACTATAATTGCATCTCAATTTTCTCTGCATTAATATTTATGTCCGAAAATATTGTGTGAATTGGATATTAAAAACAATGTGTATTTTCTAATGCCTAAATTTTTTTTGGGAAATCTCAAGTGAAATGTAACACATATGTGCAATATCAGTAAATAAATGTAAGAGAAATATTGACTCACCGTCGTGGGATGTATGCGTAGTCTGGATGGTTTGCGTTTGCTTGCTGTAGACGACTGGTTCTTTCGGAGGAATGTTGGTGTGTGCCACAGAGACAATTGTGAGCTCTTTATTCTTCCTGCGTCCTGCACTACTTTGTACCAAAAAGTCAGATTACAAAATTAGTTTCGAGAATTATATAATAAAAAATATGAATAAGTACCTTTGAGCAGAATTTATACTGGATGGTTGCAAGCTGGCATCTGGTGTAGCATTAGCACTTTGTTCAGGCGTCAATGAACTCATGCTAGACAAACTAGAAAGTACATCTGCAAATAAACAGAAAATAATTAGAATGTTTTTTGTTGCTTCAGTTGTTGCTTCTGGTGAATTAAAGATCCCTCCCAAAAAATAAAGAGGGTTTGAATCAAGATATTTTTCCAGAATCATCAATTTTTAAACATTTATTTAAAATGTTGCATAAACAATATAACTTCTGCAATCAATATATAATTATATACCTGACACTGGTGCTACACCTAAAGAAGACAGCATTGCATCAATCTCCTTACGTTGATCCTTGTCTGTGCCAGCAGCACGAACAGTAGCTTCCTCTACCTGTTATTCATAAATATATCATTTTGTTATTATAGTTATTATAAATATATATTTAATTTATAAACATTTTATATATAAATATTTTTTTATATTACATCTTTCTGTTCTTTCTCCCTTCTGCGTCTCTCCTTTTCCTCTCTAATAGCTTGTAGCTTTGCCTTCTTTCTTTCTAGCTCAGCTTTCCGATCAGACATCATCTTGTCGTCTGATGATTGATATCTAAAAAATATTATAAATTTTTACAAATTATACATTAAAACTCATTATAAATAATGCTTATTTTGCATAACAAACTATATATGTCTCAAAGGAACATAGAGATATTTGCAGTACAATTGACCAAGGCACACTAAGGAACTACCGCGAATGAACCGAATGTACATAGTTATTGATTTCTCGACGATGACGTCAACTTGAAACCAAGTCGGCAGTGTTGAATCTACCGTTAAATCGCTCACGAGCGAAAATAAATTGCTTTGACGTTGCTTGTTGCTTTCGTGATTGTTCAAACCATCCAGGATAATTTGAAATATAGATGAAATTAATTAGGACTCGAGTGTTAAGAGGCGAAACATCATCCGAACAACGAAAGTCGAGTCGCGCTCGATCGAATTTGGGCGATGCCGAACTACGCCTGCTACTTGGTCATTAATGCTAATCAAACACGGAAATAGCAAAAGACTCACCTTTTACGGAGAACGAGCGGATTTGTGCAACGGACGATTTGATATATACGAGTCTTTATTCAACTTTACATTATTTTAGATACTATCGAGATAAAACGAGACCATCACCTCTGGACTAATTTTCGTGACTGTCAATGGTTCCGAATTCGAAGATAACCGAAGAGCATCGATATTACCGACACTCGATATAACTTTTTCGATTGCTGTTATAAATATTTGAACAATATTCACTGTTATAATACAGATAATAAATTTATAATCTTTTTTATTATAAACACCTTATAATGTTTTATTTGTAAACATCGTAGTTGTTATCTTTCTAGTTTTTGGTCGGAGAATTCGGTTTCTGAAAAAAGTTTTCGGCTAATAATTTTAACGATATTTTTAGAATTAAAAATAGGTATAAATAAAAATAGGTAGAAATGACAATTTTCAAATTTTCCGATTTGAAGAAGAAATCTATTAGATTCTTTCAAATAAATTCTATTTTATCATGACAGAATATACTAACAAGATATGAAATAAAATCGATAAAACAAATTATTATATCTAATTATATTTTCTATTTTTTGGGAAAAAATTATATATATGATAAATATAACTTTTTCATTTATTATCTTCATTTTTTAAAAATATATTAATTTAAATTTAATAATATAATATTTTATTTTTTTATATCTTTTTAATTAAACTTGAATTTATAAAATATATCTAAGTTAATCAATCTTAAATCGATTAAAAAACAGTCAAAAACGTTATTAAATGACTATGCGAATGTCTTCCTGTGGAAGTTATCGAAAGAGTTACACTACGAAAGCAGTCGCCATCTACGAAGTACGCAATATATAAATGTGAATTGGTTTGCATCATAATTGATCATAACACATCCTATATCCGGTTTCATGTCGATTAGCGTTAACCCCGATGAACTCTTTTCTTGTCGTTGCACAAGGTGTTGTGAAATTTACCTTTCTTTCTCTGTTAAAGATTGTTTGAATGTAACGATTCTTTAATATGGATGTCGTAACTTTGGAGACTCAAAACATTTAATGAAGAAAAATCTATATTCTTTATCAAGCGAATTTTATTTAACGTAATCTTGTTTCGATAATATTCAATATTATGTTGAATATTAAAAACTCGATATTTTGCGATATCCGTTAAAGATCGAACTTTAACGCAATTTTTATTTAATATTCGATAAAATCAAATGCGCAAAATCGAAAAGAGAAGAAAGAAACAAAAAAGGGAGAAAAAAGGAATTCTAATTGCAAATTGCACGAACGACGAGGAATGTGACTTCCTTCCTATCGGCAATTCACGCAACACCGGAAAATTGCGCAATGATTTGAACTACTTTTGCGCGCGCACGAGGCGCTCGATCGAGAGATCCTTGCGACGTGAGATCGATAATCGCCGTGGTTTTGCATGCGTAATGAATGCACTGTGACGTAAACGATTCCGTCCAGTGCACACGCCGAGTCTTTTAATACCTTATCCAAGAAAATGCATAAATTAATTATTTATTAATTCAAGGTAGTCCTCTTTCAGTTTTTGCTCACGACGTAAACCGCATTGATCGCACTGGATCTCTCTCTCTCTCTCTCTCTCTCTCTCT